ATCAGCTGCCTCCTGCACACTCCCCACGGGGGATGTGCCCGAAAGCAAGGTACATGCCCTTGACCGGAATCGAACCTGGGACCCTTGAGTCCACAGGCCGACGCTCTATCGGCTGAGCCAAACTGGTTAGGGCCATTTGGTTCTTTAAAACCACCAGTGTGGAGAAAGCAGGATAGGAAGGAGAAAGTGCAGGTTTTAGAACCAGACATTTTTGCTGTGAGGTCTCGGACTAATGGCTTAACCTCTCTGGGCTTCATTTTCCTCTGTAAAGTGGGCAAGTAATCCCACCTTACAGAGTGGCTGTGAGAAAGGGACATTGTCTGCAACTTGCCCACCAAGGCACAGCAGGTGCTCAATGCATAGTGTAATATTTTTTTAAAATATTTTTTTATTGATTTCAGAGAGGAAGGGAGAGGGAGAGAGAGATAGAAACATCAAGGATGAGAGAGAATCACTGATCGGCTGCCTCCTGCACACCCCACATGGGGATCGAGCCCACAACCAGAGCATGTGCCCTGACCGGGAATCGAACTGTCACTTCCTGGTTCATAGGTCAACGCTCAACCGCTGAGCCATGCCGGCTGGGCCATAAAATGATATTTTATACCCATTTTATAAGGGGGAAGCCAGGGCTCAGAATGATGATGTGACTTGCCCACCGCTAAAAAATGGCTGAGCTTGAAAGATGATCCCAGGAGCCCTGCCTCCCAGGCCGTTGTTCAGCGGGATTGTGCTGCCGCTCAGGACTCCTGGGCACTGTGACCCAGACCTCCAAGACCCTCCCTGGCTCCTTACCTGCTCCCTCAGAGCCTCCTCCTCCTCCTTTCCTGAGTGCAGCTCTGCAGCTGGTCCCGAACTTCTCCTGGCCTGGTTTCCAGGAAGTAGTGGGTGGGTCTCATTTGCATGAATCTTCAGGCAGCTCCGGGCCAGCTCTCTCCACTTCAGCTTTTCCTCTTCCTTCTGATGACTTTGGACTGTCTGGTCACAGGGGATCACCTGGAAGCTTTGATTTTCATCTTCCCACTGTGGACGAAAGGGGCCACATGTTAACTTGACAAGCTCAGGGAAGGCCTGCATGGCGGTCTTGCTAACTCAGAGACCTAAAGTAACCACAAAGGATGCTATAAATTAAACTCTAACTAAAAGCAGTTATGGTGGGTAGTTACATCCTAGGCTGTTATCTTCCCTGACAAGGTCAACCTTTACCTTAACTGAGCCTATCTGTCTTTTTGCATCTATGATAACATACCCTTGAAATGTCTGGGTAACTTATAACTTCCCTTTGTCATCACTGCACATCTGCTTGTTGATCAGCAATCAGCTGCCCATCAGTGGACAGGCCCTTCTGGAGTCTTACCCATAAGTGCATGTAGAGAAGCGAGTGTGGCAAGGGGACATTTACACTATAAATACCGAGTTTTTAAGGACTATTTGAGCGTTTTGGTTTGGGCAAGGTGACTAACCTAAAACTCTCCAAAGACCCTTGGACATTCCTTCGCTTGAATCTTGGCGAGGCATTCCTGGAAGACAGTGCTGATAAAGATGGTGGTGATAAATGAAGCAGGGGTCCTTGAAAAAGAGCAGACTGCCCATCAACACTGGTGTCTTCGTTCCCTAGCAAAGAGCTCTAGAGAGGAAGGGAGAGGGAGAGAGATCAGTTGCCTCCCATATGTGCCCTGACCAGGGATGAAACCCAACCCTTGGGTATGCCCTGACAAAAATCAAACTGGTGACCTTTTGGATGCATGGGATGATGCTCGACCAACTAAACCATGCCGGCTGGGCTACAGTATGTTATTTCTTTATTCGGCTTCTTTAAGAGACATTATCCTGTATGCTATTGGTTTGTGAAATTATAATTCCCCCAGCAAACCTGTGCTAAATAAATTGCTGACAAAGGCAGATGTCAGTCTCTGGGTATAACTTCTGCTACTTCCCCAAAACAAAATAACTAGCATGCCTGTATAAGGAGGTCTCCACAAAAACTCAAAAAAGTGGGGTTCAGGGAACTTTTGGGTTGATGAACTTGTGGCAGTTCTAGGAGTGTGGTGACTTCCCACACACCCGCCATATGCATCTCTTCCATCTGGCTCGTCCTCCATATCCTTTATATCTTTTATAATAAGCTGGTAAACGTAAGTAAATGTTTCCTTGAGTTCTGTGAGCTGCTCCAGCACATTAATCAAACCCAAGGAGGGGGCCTCGGGAACCTCTGGTTTATAGCCAGTTGAACAGAAGCGCAGATGACAACCTGGACGTGTGTCTGAAGTGTCGTGGAGAAAGCGTTCTGAGGAACTGAGCCGTTACCCTGTGAGATCTGACACTACCTCCAGGTAAGCAGTGTCAGAACTGAGCGGAATTGCAGGACACCCTGTTGGTGTGGGAGAATTGCTTGGTGCTGTTAAAAAAATACACACACTTTGGAATTGGTGTCAGAATCAGAATATGCCTGTATCTTTTAACCTCCCTACCTTTAATCATGTAAATAGCTGAAGCATCATCCCCACCTTAGTTCACTGAATTCCTTAGATTCTTGTGTAGATCCTTGTTGATTATTGTTGATCAAATATTTTGCCTATTTCTGGAAATTGTCTACCGATGAGCTAATCCATGTGTCATTCAAACCTCCTTACCCTAGGGCTACCCCAGATCAAATAAAAGGTAGGAGCGGCCTGAGCATCGGTGGAAGTCCTTCCAGATTTGCCCGCCTGGTCCCCCAATATTTCAAAATTATCTCGTGTCTTTTTTCTCTCATTTGTGTGCGGCCCCTCTTTCAGATACCGAACCCTACTCCACGCGGGACGTGGAGGGAGTCTTACACGACAGTGAGGCTGTTCATCGAAATTTTATTTTAACCACAAAGGATTGAAAAAATGTAAAAGCCTAAAGGCACATCGATCACGTGGAAAACTTCATAAACATTTCAAGTGCTGTTGTAGAAGACTTTTTATTGACTTGCAAATATGGTCACAATCTATTGTATATGGAAGGGGGAGGGAACAAAGTTTGTAAAGTGATATATGTAGTATGAGGCATGTGCACAAAAGGAGCCACATGCTAACCTGACAAGCTCAGGGAAGGCCTGCATGGCAGTCTTGCTAACTCAGAGACCTAAAGTAACCACAAAGGATGGTCTGAAATTAAACTTTTAACTAAAAGCAGTTAGGTGGGTAGTTACATCCTAGGCCGGTATCTTCACTGACAAGGTCAACCTTTACCTTAACTGAGCCTATCTGTCTTTTTGCATCTATGATAACACACCCTTGAAATGTCTGGGTAACTTGTAACTTCCCTTTTTCTGGACCCCTTGGGGCACAACCTAATGTGCCTGGGCTCCAGGACAGATACCACAAATTCCTTTGTTGTTATCATGTTAATTGTTGACTGTTGGCTATCCTGCACCCACCTAAGTATGTGTCTATCATTTTATTTTTTTATCCAATCTCAGAGATCCCCCCTTTGCTTTCTCCCGCCTCTCTAATCTATCACCAATAGATCAATAGATTTCATGTAACTCACCTTCATCCCCTCCTTTGATTGTAATGTATAAAAATAGATGAAAAAACCGTCATTCTCTGGAGCATTATCCCAATCCCTTCACATTTTGCTTCCCAGCAAATGTCATCAGTTTGGCTAAAATAAACTCACAAAATTTTTTTACAGGTTTGAATGTTTTTAAAGGCACATGTTGTAAAACAAAATCTATATGTATGAAGGCCATGAGGTAAATGTTAAAAGTAGTTATCTCTGGGTGATGAGCTTACTGTTGTTGTCATTTTAAAATCTTTTAA